GGAATAAACGTATTTTATGTACACAACCCGATTGGAGTAACCAGATTTATTAAAGGTAGGTAGGCGCAATATTTTTTACATAGCATACACTCTCTTGCATAGAATATGATGGTTACCACTGGCAACCGGCATAGTTATGCAAATTGGTGCTGGCATTGGGAGCACTACAGATACAAACTTATGGGTGATAGGACTGGGAGGACAGGGAGAACCAGAGAGAGAAAACTTTTTTTGTTTATTTTCATTTCTCAAACACTCAACGCTGTGTTATATTATCGTAACATTTAAGGCATACTCGCGAAAAAATTCTCAGAAATGTATTATTAATCTATTTATTGTTAGTTACAGTTTGGAGAATATGTCTGAAATGTCATTCAGTTTTAAATATTTATGCTATAATTTAAAAATACTGTTCATTTGTATATTATAATTACTAATATTAGTAGTGATACTCATTATATAAAGCAACTGCCAGTGTTTTGCCATTAAATTCATGGCTCAAATACAATGAGCGTCAATACGAGTGCTGCGAATAATGGCTTATTGTTAACCCCATTACCTCCCGGTGCCGATATTAACTCAGCTCATAGTAACCACATTAATAACAATAATAGACTACATATTCATATTAACAATCACAGTAATGGAAACACTAATGAATTTGTCAGGGATGTCCATAAAGCCGGTATGTGTTTGGAAAAAAAACTAATTAAAACATTTATCATGTGTTAATTACATGCATAATTTTGCATTGTCATTTATTGGCTATTAATGCTAATGAGAATAATTAAGTTAAACGTGCCCAATTATTGTTTATACTAATTTATCATTAATCATTATGTTTGGTTATATTAACATCTAGATTGTTAATTATTTCATATGATTCAGATATCTTTATTAAATTAGCTACTTGTTCATTTATTATTTTCAAAAAAGTTTTGTACACCACTCACTGGCCACCAGAAACTATTTTTTTAAAAACTTTTTTTAATACAATATAATAAGACATTCAATTTAGTTTACAGTTTACAAAATATTTACAAACACCCCCTACCCTACTATTCCCTTCCAATTAGTTGCCCCCAAATAATAGACTAAAATTTAAATAAATGATAGCTTTAGGATGTCCGTGCACTCGAATGTAATTTAATAGGGGAACTGGAGTTCATTAAAAGTTTTATAAAAAGTTTATAAACATATTTGCTTAGAAACAGTCGATACTTATAAAACAAACCAAAGTTTATAAAAACAGTTATCAAAACTAAATTAATACAAATATTTCACATCCCGTTCCCTTTCTCTGACTGTCGCAGGTTGGCTCCGATACCTGCCATACGGCGCTGACCGGCCGTCCACATCGTCATCGACAGCACCGGGCGCTGAGGAGCACCGCTTTTGGACCATATTCTCCATACACAACGATACCCAACCCTACATCGAGTTCTACCAGAAACGACAGCTCACACCCACCACCGGCCAGACACCGGATCCCCAGTCGGCGCCGGTATCCACTCACTCGCTACAGCGCTGTCAACACGTGGCGCCGGCCATAGGCCTGTCCACTGGGGACAAGGCGTTCAACGAGTTCGCCATAACGCTGGACACGTATATCATACGACTGGTGGCCGATAGTCAGCACTCAATGTGCGATTGGATAGACAGCCTGCGCTCAAAGCTCCGACAGTTAGACGTACTGCCCGCTCG